GAGTTCTCAGTCATGCCTTTCGGATTGACTAATGCCCCGGCAGTGTTCATGGAGCTTATGAACAGTGTGTTCCGACCATACTTGGACCAGTTCGTAGTAGTGTTCATCGATGACATCTTGGTTTATTCACGGACTCAGGAGGAGCATGCTAGACATTTGCAACTGGTTTTGAGTGTGTTGAGAGAGCACAAGCTGTATGAAAAATTGTCCAAGTGTGAATTCTGGGTGAGTGAGGTGACATTCTTAGGACATGTTATCTCTGCCACCGGTATCCAGGTAGACCCCAGCAAGATTTCAGCCATAGTGGACTGGAAGACTCCGCGGAATGTTCGTGAGGCGAGGAGCTTCCTTGGGTTAGCCGGTTACTATCGTCGATTTGTTAAGGGCTTCGCCTCGATCGCTACTCCGTTGAACAAGCTACTGCGGAAGGACATCAAATTTGAGTGGACAGAAGCGTGCCAACGCAGTTTTGATCAACTGAAGGAGTGCCTGACCCAGGCACAAGTCTTGATTCAACCTACTCCTGGCATCGAGTATACCATCTATAGTGACGCATCTCATAGCGGCTTAGGTTGTGTACTGATGCAGTTGAGTAAGGTAGTGGCCTACGCATCGAGACAGTTGAAGACTCACGAGGAGAACTACCCAACACATGATTTAGAGTTGGCAGCCGTGGTGTTCGCCTTGAAGATTTGGCGCCACTACATCTTTGGAGAGACGATTCACATCTTCACCGATCACAAGAGTTTGAGGTACCTACTCACCCAGAAGGAATTGAATCTTAGACAACGTCGATGGTTGGAGCTAATCAAGGATTACGATTTAGTCATTGAGTATCACCCGGGCAAGGCTAACATCGTGGCCGATACTTTGAGCAGAAAATCGTTAGCCGAGCTACAGCTTCAGTCTCCGTTAGAGCAGGAGATCTGTACAGCACAGAGAGATGATGAGTTTTGTCAGAAGACTCGAGAGTTAGTTCCTACAGGAAAGAGGCCCGAGTTTGCAATTCGCGATGACGGAGTCTTGTACTATCGTGAACGCCTAGTGGTGCCCCGTGGTTGAGTGAGGGATCGCTTGTTACGCGAGGCTCACGGAACCGTATACACTATGCACCCGGGTAGTAACAAGATGTATCAGGATTTGAAGAAATCCTATTGGTGGCCAGCTATGAAAAAGGATATCTCCGAGTTCACTGCGTGCTGTTTGACTTGTCAGCAAGTCAAGGCTGAGCACCAGGTTTCGACAGGGTTGCTGCACCCTCCTACCATTCCGGAATGGAAGTGGGAAAGGATCACTATGGACTTTGTGATAGGATTGCCACGATCTTCACGAAAGAATGACGCCATCTGGGTCATTGTTGACAGGTTGACAAAGTCCGCTCATTTTCTACCCGTCAGACGTGACTCCTCCTTGGACAAATTGGCAGACTTATACGTTAGAGAGATAGTTCGGTTGCACGGTGCACCGCTGTCAATCATATCTGATAGAGATCCCCGGTTCACTTTGATGTTCTGGAGAGGACTTCAGAAGGCTTTTGGCACAACTTTGAACCTTAGTACGACATTTCACCCTCAGACCGATGGCCAGTCTGAGAGGGTGATACAGATTGTCGAGGATATGATGCGAGCTTGTGTGATCGACTTTGGAGAAGATTGGGAGCGTTACTTGGTGTTGATGGAGTTTGCATATAATAACAGTTACCAGGCGAGTATTCAGAAGGCTCCTTATGAGGCACTCTACGGCAGAAAGTGCCGAACCACGATTTGTTGGACAAAGCTTAGCGAGCGTAAGCTCGAGGGACCAGATATTGTGCAGGAAACCGAGGAGAAGGTTCGAGTGATCGGAGACCGACTCCGCACCGCTTCGAACAGACAGAAATCTTATGCAGACTTAAAGAGACGAGACATAGAGTACAATGTTGGTGACATGGTATTTTTGAAGGTTTCACCTTGGAAGAAGGTCCTACGGTTCGGGAAGAAAGGGAAGCTTAGCCCTAGATTCATTGGACCCTACCGCATTCTGGAGCGAATAGGACCTGTTGCTTACAGGCTAGAGTTGCCACCAGAGTTGAACAGGATTCACGACGTCTTTCATGTCTCCTTGCTACGTAGATACCGTTCAGATCCGACTCATGTGTTGCCGACCAATGCTGTAACCCTCGACGAGAATTTGTCTTACGAAGAAGAGCCAGTTAAGATCTTGGCGCGCGAAACTAAAGTGCTAAGGAATAAGACGGTACCTTTAGTAAAGGTACTATGGCGTAATCATGCGGTGGAAGAAGCAACCTGGGAGACCGAAGAATCTATGCGAACTCAGGTTTCTCATCTCTTTGATGACCAATGACTCAGGTAATTTCGAGGACGAAATTCTTTTTAAGGGGGGGAGAAATGTAACGCCCCGAAATCTGGCCCAAAAGAATTAATTAAATTTGTTAGAGCAATTGATTACGAATTGGGCCTAAAAAGGGGTTAAAATTATAATTTGGATTCTAAGCCCAACTTTTATGTCATCTTGTAAGAAATATTTTTGTGATCGCGTCGGTTCAGACGGCTCGCGAATCGGAGTTATGGAGCTCATGTTATAGCCATTTAATCAGGTATTTTGGGCCCGGAGCCCAAGCCACTAGTATTGGAATTAATAAATAAAACCTAAACCTACGCGTCTTCCGTCCAGATCGGAGAGCCGCACGATCGACATCTTCATCTTCATCTTCACCTTTGTCGTTCTCGATCGCCGCCGTAAACCAGTCGCCGGTCGTCCTTCCCCAGCCATCGCCGCAGCCTCTCCCTCGCCGGAAGTCCGTCGCCCACTGCGAGGTCCAGCGCCGCCAATCGCCGCTGCTTCCTTCGTCGGTCGTCCGCCGCCGTCGGGTTGCAGCGCCGCCACGCCGAGCGCTGGACGTCGCCTCCACTACCGGCGTCTTCCCTCGCCGTCGAGTGCAGCGCCGCCAATCGCCTCCGGCCGCCGTCGCCCTTAGAACAGCGGCCGCCTCGCCACTGTACGCCGCCTCCCCTACCGGCATCCGCCATCATCGCCGTCGAGTTGCAGCGCCGCCAGTCGCTGCTCATCGCCGTCGAGTTGCAGCGCCGCCACTCGCTGCTCATCGCCGTCGAGTTGCAGCGCCGCCACTGTACGCCGTCGAGTTGCCGCTCCGCCACTGTCGCCGGCATCCGTCACCGTCGCCGCATCCAGCCGCTGCCCGGAGTTGATATCGCCGGTAGATTAACCTCCACGCCGGATTGATTAATCGATTTCGTATCTTGACTCAATTTGACCCGTTCGTTTGATTTCGTTGATTTGTCTTCCGTTCGAGCTATCGATCCGATTTCGGCGTAATCCAGGTCCGTACTATGAAGTTAATAGCGTTTAGAATAGATTTAATGGTTCGGATCGTTATATATGTTTATGCTATAATTTGGCTAGATTTGGTTAATTGAATTAAATTGATTATTTGAATTGAATTGTTGAGGATTGTGAGTTGACTGAACAGGTTTGACTTTGACTTGGGTTAGGTCCTGTCTGACTTGGGCTTTGACTGGATATTCTGTTGACGTAGGTTTGACCTAATGGTTAAATCCAAGACTTTATTGAATTAATTAAGTTAATTAATTAGTTCTAATCAGTAATTAGGATCAATTGGTTTATTATGTCGAACATAGAAACTGGCCATTGCTCGGGCGGCTGCAGGGCCTGGTCAGTGAGGTTAAGACGTGCGCACGAGGGTCTGTGATCTTGGGTTTGAGGCTATCGCCCGAGGGATCCTACCTCCACCGAATTGAGGCTATCTTCGGTGTTACAGATTGAGGCTATCTCCGTCATAGGCAATAAATGTTAAGTGGTTTGACTTTTGTGAAAGTCTAAATTGGTTTGACCGGTGGTCAAAGAGTTAATGAGAAACCCTTAACACCTAAATCGTTTGAAAAGAAAGAAAATAAGTTGACTGTTGGTCAACCGTCTAAAGAACCGAATTTAAAGTTGAATCGATTTTTATCAAAAGGATAAACATATGCACGATCTTAATCATTGAATTATTATGTTTATTCTTGTGCTACAATGGAGTGCCACTCAGCGTCAATGCTGAGCGGATAGCGTTGTTTTCCTTTTTGCTGTCCGTAGGTGATCAGACAGATGAACCTAGAGCCGATCCCAGAGGGCATTAAGGAGGAGATGTACGATGGCGTGGCTGTCTCTTTAATCTGTAGTTATGCTTTATTTAATTAACTTTAATGCTTATTACGTTTTCGGGAAAGATCCCAAGTTGTTTGACTTTAAAAAGGCTTCCGCATTATTTTAAATTACTCCGATGGATTTTTATATGTATTGATAGAACGTTTGTTTAAAATTGTTTTGAAAATGTTGTATATTCGGATACCAATCCAGTGGCACACCGGTCCGCTGTCTCACGGGTTTGGGTTATGCGGGTTGGGGTGTTACATTTGGTCATTCGTAGAACTTTAAGTGCGATGGCCTGTCCAAAAGAAGAAATACAACGAGAGAATATCTTCCATACTCGTTGTACAATCAAAGGAAAGGTGTGCTCTCTCATCATTGATAGTGGGAGTTGTACGAATGTTGCCTCTAAGACTATGGTGGATAAACTCCAGCTGAAAACCTCACCACACCCAACACCGTACACGATTCAATGGCTGAATCATGGTAAAGGGGTACGTGTTGACTCTCAATGCTTGGTGTCACTAAGTCTTGGACAAACCTACAAGGATGAAATATGGTGTGATGTGATACCGATGGATGCTTGTCATGTGCTGCACGGACGGCCTTGGTTGTTCGATCACAAGGTTCTTTACGATGGATACGCTAACACGTATTCATTCCTCAAAGACAATAAGAGAATCACCCTTACTTCTCTTCATCCTGAAGAAAAATCTCCCGTTCATCTGTCAACATTGATACGAGCTGGTAAATCTGAATACATAGATGAAACTCGCTGTGAGATGATAACAACGACTCAAGTCAACCAGCATATTTGTGGGAACGTGAATGTAAACACGAGAGACCTCAATGATCAATCCAAGCCAATTTATACTCCGAGTTTGAGGTCAAACTCTTTTGAAGACGGGGAGGATGTTGTACCCCACCATGCATCACCAAAGGGTAAGCAAAATCATGAGTTAATGCTTAATTGTTATAATCCTTATTGGGTTGAATTCATTCCTTCTTTCTATCAAAAAGCCCAAACCATAACCCTTGCTGCCCAAAACCCTCCCTAAGCCAAACCATAACCCATAAACCTTTTTCCACAAACATCCAAAATCATTTTGTCTGTCCAAATAAAGTCTTTGTTATTCATTACTAAGCCTAGTCCGAAGGTGAACAACAAAAGGCAGAATAAAACCTTTGTTTATTTTTTTTAGACACAATAATCGATTATCCAACATAGATAATCGACTATTGCTTCCCTCTGAATTCTCCTAACATAGTCCAGCAATGCTTCATAATCGATTATCTCCCAATTGATAATCGATTAACACTCATCTCTGAAAATATCCGGTTTGATGAACCAGTCCTTGTCAATCGATTATTCCTGAAGAGTTAATCGACTATTTGACGCCTCTGAAAATTCTGGGTTTAGAAAACGTATCTTATTAATCGATTATCAGTAGGCGATAATCGATTATCACACAACCCTGAACTCAGAAATCAGTAAAATGGTCATTGATTGAACAGGAAATGTTTTGTCATTTAGGAACAAACTTGGCCATACACCATGGACGAAATTCTCATGTTATTATTCAACAAAATCAAAGACTTTTACAATACAAAACAAAGTTTAATCCTTCATCCATGTGCCTGCCCAAAAAGTCTTTGATTGAATAGTAATATCTTGTCCTATTACTCACTAAAAGTCAATCCATGTTGTTTCCTTTATTCTCCCACCTTAAGGAAGAAAATCATACATTAAGACCACCCAAAATACATGCCAAATGCCTGATCATTAGCCTTGAATTCAACTCATTTGGGATATTAACACATGCACAGCATTTGTTTTATTTTGTAGGAAAGAAGTGGGAAGTTTCCTTTGTTGTATTTTATTTATCATGTAATCATGTTTGTTGTATTGTTTTCTCCATTCCATGGCCTATATATTTCAGCCCTGGTTCATTGTATTAATCAGCTTGTAAAATATATTGTGATAATATAAGTTTCCTGCTCAGTTCTCTCTCTAAGTTCTCTATATTAAATCCTAATTCTATATCTTAAGAGTGGTTCTCTTAAGTGGGAGTTTTAGGTTCTAGATATATTAAATAAGTTGAGTGATTCCTTATTTAAATACTAGAGTTTAACCCGAGTGAAGATAAGTGTGTGTGATTGCTCTTATTATTCACTTGATAAATGCTTCTTTCCCTCTCCATTGATTTCTCCTGAATTCAGCTTCCGCTATATTTCTACATCCTTCTCTCCTTCTTTCTCCTCTTAAGTTGATATCCCAGACTACCCCGGGTCTCGGGTACAACAAGATGGTCCATATTAACGTGAGCTATCCGACGATGCCATAGCCACGTTTCTTCCTCTTTGGTAATGAGGCACTTAGCTAAAGTAGACGGGGAATTTTCAAGATCAAACATGTAAATGTTATCTACTCTACTACCACAAAGAATAGTCTTATTGTCACACAAGCGTTCTACAATGCATTTACTAGAATCAAAGATGACACGGTTACCTTTATTTCATTGTTTTCTTTGGAAGCCTTTTTGAACATTCTTACCAAATCTTCTACAATGCAAACAACATCATTAAGAGTTAAAGGATCATTGGGAGAAGGTTCTTGATCACTTACCTCTTTTGATGTATCACCATCTTCAATGGCCATGAGACACAAGTTGGCCACTTCCTCCATTTCCGAGTCTTCACTCCCGGAGCCGTCGTTCTCCCAAGAAATGTAGGCACGTTGCTTCTTCGGTGCCCTCTTGTCCTTCTCGTTCTTGAGCTTTGGGCACATTGGTTTAATGTGTCCAATTTCACCACACCCATAGCATTTGGGTGGAGTGTTCTTCTTGGCTCCCTTCTTGAGCAACATCTTCTTGAATTTTCGGACAAAGAGTCAGAGGTCGGTGTCGTCGCTGTCATCATCTTCATCATTAATGTTGTTGTGGGTTGATGTTGTTGCGGGTAGAGCAATGGAACTCTTGTTCCTCTCTTCAACCACCTTTGAGAATTGGGTGGTTTCGTAGGTAATAAGATTACCTTGAAGAGCATCATAGGTCGTTGTTTGGAAGTCACGACCTTCTTCGATTGCGTCCACCTTTGAACGAAATTTGGGGGATAGGCTTCGCAGCACCTTTCTCACGAGCTCTCGGTCGGTGTATGTCTTCCCGAGAAGATTGAGAGGATTGATGATGTTAGAGAACCTCTCAAACATTTCCTCAATCTTCTCATTTTCCTTCATTGAAAAGAGTTCATACTCGTGAGTGAGATGGTCGATTTTGGCCTCCCGAACCTGCGCGGTTCCTTCGTAGGTGACCTCCAATTTCTCCCACATTTGTTTTGTGGTTTCACACTGCGAGATTTTGCGGTAGTCATCCGCATTAACACCGCAATAAATCATGTTTATTGCCTTTGCGTTGAGCTCCATCTTTTTGCAATCTTCGTCGGTGAACTCCTCTTCGGTTTTGGGGACGTTGACTTCACCGAATTTCTTCATAGGGACTCCACAGCCGTTCTTCACAATCAACCACAGCTTGTAGTCGTTTGATTGGATAAAGATTCTCATCCTCTCCTTCCAATACGAGTAGTTTGTTCCATCGAACAACGGTGGCCTCGTGGTTGATTGTCCCTCGGTCACTCCCGCGTTGAACATTCTTGATGCCATTTGATCTTTTAGTTCCTAAAAAATAGCGTATTAGAAGAACTTCCTGCTCCGATACCAATTGTTAGACAAATGTGCAACTCTAGAGGGGTGGTGAATAGAGTTGTTTTCAAGAATGTGCGTTTTTCGCGTGTGTGAAATAATAAAATCGCAGGAATAAATAAAGAGAGTAAGGGAAAGAAGAACACTGAGATTTATACTGGTTCACCACCTCGTGGCTAGTCCAGTCCTCCGAGAGACTCTCTCGAAAGTCCTACTAATCTTCAAGCTTCAACGGGTGCTTGAAAAACCAGTACAACTTGAGAACTTGAATCACAAGCCTCACTTTCTTACAACAACAAGACTTGAGTCACACAAGTCTTTAGAACAACACTCAAATAAGATTGAGTTTAACAACAAAAGAATGAAAACTCACACAATTGAGCAAAGTAGTGTTGAAGAATTAAAGCTCTATGGATGACAAAATCTTTAGCACTCAATAAAATATTTCTAACTCTGAAAATAATATATTTGATGAGGAAGATGGAAGCAAGAAATGAATATAGCTCAATGAAGATATTGGAGCGCAAGAGTTGTGTGTAGAAATGAAGGAGAATGAGGGATTAAATAGGCTGAAGATAAAAGATCCGTTGGAGCAGATTGAGAATAGACACCAGACAATATTAATCGATTAAAGTAAAGCCTTTAATCGATTAAGGTGTGCAGAAGCGAAAGGGTCTTCTGCCCATGTGCAAATTAATCGATTAAATTTGACAAAATAATCGATTAGATGGTGCTGTCTCAACTAATCGATTAAATGAAGAAGATTAATCGATTAATTGGAAAAAAGTCTTCAGCGAGAAATGCAATCTTAATCGATTAAGTTTGATGGAAAAATCGATTAGACTGCGCTGTGAGAACTAATCGATTAAAAGAATAAGAAAAATCGATTAATAATGAAGGCTTGAGAAATCCGGAACTGGATCTAATCGATTAATTTAGAAAAATTAATCGATTAAAGTAGAAATAATGCGCAAACATAAAGGACCCAAGCCAAGTGCGATTGGAAGCCTTTGGCTTCTAACTCGTTGTTTGGCACAACGGGAATATCAACGGACGCTCCTCATATCTCATTCAATGAATTTGAGTAGGGGAGAGAAAAAGAGTCCAAAAATTATTTTGTGTATCAAACGATGTACAAGAAAAATATTTAAAGTATATTTTTCTTACAAAAAAAAGTTTGTGTATTCTTAAAAAATGTTTTTACGAAATTTTGACACACTTATTTTGAAACTGACTCAGTAAAATATTTTTAGACAGAGGAAAAGTAATTTTTCAACTGACTCAGAAAATAATAATTTTTATCCCTCAAAAATAATTTGTTTGTGCAGAAAATATTGTCATCCTTACAAAGATTCCTAGACTTAATTAAAAGAAATCTTCGAAGTCTTCACTTCACTTCAAAAAATTTCTGCGTAGGGGTAAGCCTTGATTTTATCTTGATACGCCTCTTTGCTTTTCTCGATACGAAAATAAATTTTCGATCAGCTTGAATTTAATCATCCTTTTTGTCATTCATCAAAACAAAAAAAATATTCCAGAAGAAATAGTAAAGGGGTTTGAACTCATGTCCAACAAAAATGTTATAATATCAAGTAATAATACACTCTCTTCACTTTATAAAAAATGTAGTGAATATTGTAAATATATTTAATATTTCAAAGAAAATGTTTAAATATATTAATTATATGAATTATGTAATATTTTAAAATTATTAAATTTACTAAAATAGTTTTAAGTTTAATTAAAATCAAATTTAGATTTAATTACACCAGATCTAATTTGATCATATTAGATTCAATCAGACCATCAGATCTAACATTTTCAGGCTTGATTAAATCATGTCAGATCAGATTTAATCAGGTCAAATCAGATTCAATCAGATCAGGTCAAAACTTCAAAAATTTAAATCAGATTTAATCAGATCAGGCCTAAGGAACATTACATAACAAAGAAAAGACAACTAAGATAATGAGAGAATTTTTTTATGAAAGAATTATTTTTTAAGAGGAAAGAAGTATATTTAGTATAATGTAAATTTAATATATTGGTATCTTTTGAAATGTACTTTTGATGTATCAAATTTTTGTAACATTTACTCTTTTCCTCTTAGAGTTATAGTTACATTACTATTCTGGTCTTTCAATAATTTGTTGGTATACTTTTGTTGATCATTTGTTAAAATAGAATTTTTTTTGTAAGTTCTTATTTTTCTAGAACTTTTTAGATATGTAATTTTCTTTCTTTTTATTTATATATACCCATTTGTAAATAAAATAATTTTAAAACATATAGAGTTTCGTACATTATTCAAAGTGAGACTATAATCTTGAGATGGACGAGGTATTTATTTAAAAGAATACTACCTTCGTCTCATAAAAACATTTCACTTTTGACTTGCACGGAGATTAGTAAAAATAAAATTGTATTTTCAAAAGTTATACAAATGAGAGAAAAATTATAAGGGCCACATTTCTTTTTCAAAATTGGAAAGTGAAATATTTTTTTGGGATGGACAAATAAGAAAATATGAAATTTTTTATGAGACGAGAGAAATATTTATTAATGGTCTGAATTTGTAAATGTTTGACCAAAAAATTCAAATTATATTTTTAACTTTAGGATGTAGCTAGAGAGTATTATACATGAAATACGAAGTACCTCTCTCCAAGTGTATTCGTTGCTTTTTAATTAGAATAGATGCATTTTAATAATCAAATGAATTAAATATATATTACATATTAGAAAAATTTTACCGTGGACCTAAGATCCACGGTGCGCTACAGATGAGGTTGATAAGTATTTGTTTTCTGTTGAAATAAGTTTTTTTATGTTTTTAAAAAATAAAAGACTAATCTTTATGTGAGAAGGTCTATAAAAAATTTTTGAAACTTAGGTGCACTTAAGAAGCACTTTACATATTAATGACATAAAAATAATTCTTTTTATCATCTTTGATATTGTAAGATGAATGTAATAGAATTGTTCTTATATTTACCTTAAAAGTTAAAGAATTGTAATAGAATTGTTATTTGATTGGTGCTTAAAAGTTAAAGGGAGAAGGACCAAATTAGGAGTAAAAGTCATGCCATATTCTCAAAATAGGAGCTCAAATTTAAAATCCTCTAAATAGGAGCAATTAATTAATTTTTGTCCTCAATTAGCAGTATGTCTCTTCTCACGCTCTCTTCTCCCTTCTTTTGTTTATTTTCTTATATTGCATGCGTGTACACTTAGGGGGGGGCTAGGCCTTGGCATTGAGTTATGGTAGGAATTACAATAGATTAGGAAATTAATTATTTATTATTATTATTATATTATAAAATCTTTATATTTATTTATTGAACTGTAACATCTATTTTGCTCGTAACTTTTTACACCAAAGTCTTAACTTAACAAACTATATGTTGTTAGTCACCTTTTTACGAGATCAACCCAATTACCTATTTTTTAAATTTAAAGGTTGACTTTACAAATAGTTTATATTTTCGAGTCAGAAAATAAAATGGGATATTATATTTATTTTTTATCAAAATAACGACTAACTACTAAGTTGGCTATTTTTTTACCAAAAATTAAAATGTTGTCAATAAACCATTCTTTTAACTATATCGTCAAGGGATGACAACAAAATCACACCCAAAGCTCAGTACCACAGACAAATACGGCTATTTCTACCTTGCCCCTGAATATTTATATGCGTATCCTAATTCACAACTCAATTATTTTGATTCGACATTCTTAGGAAGAGAACAAAAAGTTTATAAACACACCTTTAAGTGTTGCCTCAGGCCCATAGAGTGTCAAACGAGACCACACTAAATGCCAAAATTCTTAATCAATAAATCTATGAGACCTTATTAATACCTTGTAGATATATGTCAAAATTCTTAAGCAATAAATAGAAACTCAGTAAATTGCTACAGTACAATGTCTATACAGTGTCAAATAAGATCACATTTAATGCCACACGTAACGACATAATGACAATCATGTCATTTTATAAAGTCATACATGCAAATGCATAATGCTAAACCAAGAGATAATGTCAAATATGACAATATATAGTGACACACTTGGCAATGTATAATGACAAATATGCCAATGTATAATTTTACATATAACACATATGCAAAATCTTAAAAAAGTTAAACATCAAGAAAATCTTTTTGGCAACACAATAATCATTTAGTGTCAATATATGTTGTACAAAATAACTTTCTAAGAAGTAAATTCAGATTTAAAATCAAATGTCACAACCTATGTGAAATTGAATATAAAATTCATCTAAATTTTCAAACTCACGCAAGGCTATAAGAATTAGTACCAATTTTACAAAATAATTCCTGAAGAAGTAAATTTTTAGATTTAAAAGTGAATTTAACTACTTATGTCAAATTTAATATCAAATTGAATTCAAACTTATTCAAGGGGACAGAGGTTTCCGAGCGATGAAAAATAGAAATGGTGGAGAGGGGTGGAAGGAGATTGTGTGTATGAGAGGAAGGGAGATGATGGAGAGTGTGATGGAATAATTGTGTTGTACCTGAGACCTGAGGTCTTAACGAGTAGCTATTTTGTGGCAGATTTGCGGAAGGAAATGGATGATGGAATTGAAGGGATGAAATATGGAGTGTGGGAAAGAGTTCTTTTTGGTATTTTGATTTATGAAGATAGAATAGAATGGGGTTTAGAAAGAGAAAATGGAGAGGAATGAAATGGGCAGAAAACAAGGATGGATAAACCAAATAATAAATAAGAGATAAACACACTCTTACTATATTTGAGGCTGTTACCTATTTCACACAATAATAATCACTACTAATGTATAAAATAGACTCCTAACACACACTCAAAAGTAGCCAACTTTAGAGATATTTCATTACGAAATTTAGTTAAAATAGCATCACACTATTTTAAGAGAATACTCAAAAGAGTAAACAAAGTTTTTCCTTCAATACAATCTGCTGGTTTTACAATGGCTCATGGCCGAAATATATACAAGGGAAGGGAAGGGGAAATACAATCAAATGAAGATAAATACAACTAGGAAACTTCCTTCCATCTTCCTTACATTTGACATTATCACAAACATCCTAATTGAGCTGATTGTAAGGATAAAACGAATGGATTTTATTTGGATTGTTGTGGTGTGATATCTCGGCCTTATGTGGGAAATAGAAAAGGAATGTTATGTGACTGAAATTAGGACTAAAATGACTTGTTTTTATGTAGGAAATTCGGCCCTAAGGGATCAAGATAAAGGAGACAAAGTTTGACTTGACTTTAAGTGAATAATAGGACAATAAGTTACTATTCAATCAAAGACTTCTTTGCTGATTTTGTCCTTTTGTTTTGTTGTAGTTTTCTAATGATTTAGGGCTGGATTTTAGGAAGAAAATGGGTGGGAATTTCGTTGGAAAGGTGTAGGAAAATAAGGGGAAGGTCTTATTTAATGAAAGGAACAAAAGAAGTAGAAAACAACACACAAGGTTTGTCTTTTTGGTCCTCATTTTCGTCCAAGGTTAAAAAGGAGGGGAAAGACTTTATTTTGATTATCAAATGAAGATAAAATACTTTTGGATATTTTGGGAGAGGTTGGGATTTTAGTGGAGCCATCCAGGGGTACATCATACTCCCCTTCTTCGAAGAAAGTTTGTCCTCAAACTTTTGCACCACCGTGAAAAGGTCACTAGTTCATTGAGGAATTCCCGGATCAAATGGGAAATTCAACGAACCACCAATAATGAGGTTCATTCTGGAATTAGTAGACACCTCGTTGTGTAATTTCCGGAACATGATGTCATTCCTTGTAAGAACCTGCTTCAAACATATCTCGGAGATGAAATAAGATTTTCCTTCACTGAAAAGAGGATAATACTCTATGGAAATCACTTCCTTAGAATATATATCTGCCGGTGTGGCTTCCTCTATAACTACCTCGTCAACGTATTCATCATGAATGAGGAAAGAATCATTATAGTGTGATTCTTCGTGACCATTAGAAGCTGGTTCTTCTACGAAGACGTCATCTTCATTTTTGATAAGAATATCAAAGGCATCTTCTTCAATGACAACTTTGTCACATGACCTTTTCTTTTCCTCCTCATGAATTATGACCCACTCTTCATCTGGTATGGCATATTTATTTGAACATTCCCAATGGCCATGACCACAGCCACCACACATGAAACACCACCGAGTAGCCCATTGCAATATTGCTCCATTTGCAAGGACAATTTCTAGATTTCTGAGGTGTCTTTTAGAGACCATATCTCACAAACCGGAGATTGGAATTAGGTAACTCCAACTCTCAAAGCTAAATATTGACGTCCATAAAGACATATCAAATATTTGGAGCCATTAAAGAACGTTTGCTACCTCTTTGGAGACAAATTCAGCAAGGTAGATTGAATTCGTCCAGGATTCTGTTATCAACTTCGGGAGGGCGTATCTCACTAACCACAACTCGGAATTGAGTGAAATCAGCGGCCACACGTAGAGAAAAGGTCAAACTTTCAAACTGGAAAGTTTCACTTCAAAATCTGGTGCGTAGCTTCATCCGTGCTCAATTCTTTGGAGCTGAAGGTTTCTGGAAAAAAAATTTCAGCAACCTTCTATCGGGTACGTTTGTGAAGTCGGTCCACAAGGTGATCGTCGAGACTTAAGGAAGTCTTCAAATATAGCTCTGATACCAGATGTTGTACCTGAGACCCGGGGTCTTATCGAGTAGCTATTTTTTGGCAGATTTGCGGAAGGAAATGGATGATGGAATTGAAGGGATGAAATATGGAGTGTGGGAAAGAGTTCTTTTTGGTATTTTGATTTATGAAGATAGAATAGAATGGGGTTTAGAAAGAGAAAATGGAGAGGAATGAAATGGGCAGAAAACAAGGATGGATAAACCAAATAATAAATAAGAGATAAACACACTCTTACTATATTTGAGGCTCTAATCTATTTCACACAATAATAATCACTACTAATGTACTCCCTCCGTCCCATATCTTTCTTATCACTTTCCTTTTTGGGCCGTCCCACTTGATTCTTCCCATTTCCTTATTTGGAAAATAAAAAAACACTTACAATGACCTATTTACCCCTCTTTATTCCTACTTACATTTACAGAGTATTCTATCATTAGTATGACATCACCTAACCCACCCCACTTTCATTATCTACTCTCTACCCCATTATCTCATTCTCATCCACCCACTTTGCTTTCAATTTTCTCATTTACGGGCTATAGAGTAGATCTTTCTCCTCCATTTTCACTATCATCACTTGCTTGCTGTGAATCTGTGATGGAGTCGCTCTCACACCCTTCATCTTCTCACTATCATCGCTCTCTCACACTTTCGTTACTCTTCTTTCGTTTCATTAGCAACCCTAGATCTATGTGTTTTCATAGATTTAGAGAATTTGTATCTTCTCTCTGGAATTTCAGACACTTTTAACCCTAGTCTCTATGAAATTAGAGGCGATGATAATGATAAAGCCATGCAGCCTCCTTCCACTATGAGTGACACTTTCATGGGGTGGGGGTGTTGTGATTGAAATTTTGTCTTTCATTATTGCAGTCTCTATGAAATTTTGTCTTTCATTATTGCTCAATCTGTGTTTTCTTTTTTCTTTTGCCTGGGTTTCTTCACCATCATTTTTTGTTTGCAGGGACATGTGGTAGAAGAAAGGTTGCAGTTTTTTAAGGGAAAAAAGAGAGAATAAGAAAAAAAGGAAAGAAAGGAAGAATTGGAAGAAGAAAAGGAAAGGAAGAATAAGAAGACTGGGCATGTGTTGCTATTTTTGGAAGGATTATTTATAGAGAATATGTGTAGCACATTTTCCCTCCATGTTTTAATTTTTTTAATGTGTTTTGGGTGTTTTGGAGGGAAATATTATTTCACTTTTGTAGATGTGAATCATGCGTATGGGGTGTATGTACATGAATATGTGTATGTAATGATTGAATAGGAAAAAAATTTAAACTTTTGTACTTTGTCACTATTGAGCACTATGCACTTTATTCTTTTGATTTGCTTTCTAAAAAGTGACGCCATGAAGGGCAAAATAGGGAACTCATCTCCTTTTCCACTTTACATTAAAACCTGTGCCAAGTCAAAACGAGAAGTTTCAACTAGGACGGAGGGAGTATAAAATAGACTCCTAACACACACTCAAAAGTAGCCAACTTTAGAGATATTTCATTAGGAAATTTGGTTAAAATAGCATCACACTATTTTAAGAGAATACTCAAAAGAGTAAACAAAGTTTTTCCTTCAATACAATCTGCTGGTTTTACAATGGCTCATGGCCGAAATATATACAAGGGAAGGGAAGGGGAAATACAATCAAATGAAGATAAATACAACTAGGAAACTTCCTTCCATCTTCCTTACATTTGACATTATCACAAACATCCTAATTGAGCTGATTTTAAGGATAAAAGGAATGGATTTTATTTGGATTGTTGTGGTGTGATATCTCGGCCTTATGTGGGAAATAGAAAAGGAATGTTATGTGACTGAAATTAGGACTAAAATGACTTGTTTTTATGTAGGAAATTCGGCCCTAAGGGATCAAGATAAAGGAGACAAAGTTTGGCTTGACTTTAAGTGAATAATAGGACAATAAGTTACTATTCAATCAAAGACTTCTTTGCTGATTTTGTCCTTTTGTTTTGTTGTAGTTTTCTAATGATTTAGGGCTGGATTTTAGGAAGAAAATGGGTGGGAATTTCGTTGGAAAGGTGTAGGAAAATAAGGGGAAGGTCTTATTTAATGAAAGGAACAAAAGAAGTAGAAAACAACACACAAGGTTTGTCTTTTTGGTCCTCATTTTCGTCCAAGGTTAAAAAGGAGGGGAAAGACTTTATTTTGATTATCAAATGAAGATAAAATACTTTTGGATATTTTGGGAGAGGTTGGGATTTTAGTGGAGCCATCCAGGGGTACATCACATTGCCGCATAGAGGAGATGGTAGCGGCGGAGAGGGGATTGAGATTAAGTTTACAGCGTCAACAACTTAGATTAGAACGAAGAAGAAGATCGTAGAAGGATAGGATTGGGAAGGGGCCGAGTGACTTCTTCGACTGTAAAGGGCTGAGATGTGGTGGGGTTTGTGCAAAAGAAAAAATCAAAACAAATTTAATTAATTACTTCTATATATAGAAATTTCAGTTTGAACTCTTATTTTGAGAATATGATATATGATTTAGTTTTATTTATGTGGTTTTATTAAAGTTAAAACTAAACTAGTTTGACTAGATAACACTATGACCGAGGCACCGAGCTGGTTATTTTAGAAGTTGGATACAAAAGTTGAATTGTCGAAAAAGGATGAACCACCCAAAGTAATTTCAGGTAGAGTTTCGGGAAGAGTTGACCATGCGTTTTAGAATCTTCGCTGTGCTAAATCTTCTTCTTCTTCTCCTAAGCTCAACAGCAGCGGCGGTTGATTTCGTCTACAATGGATTCCTCTCCTCGAATCTAAGCCTCAGCGGAATCGCCGACCTGACCTCCAACGGCCTCCTGCGTCTGACCAACGGGACAGCGCTGCAAAAAGGGCAGGCTTTCTACCCTCGCCCGGTGACCTTCCACAACAACTCCTCCTCCGCCTTGATCTCCTTCTCCACCTCCTTCGTCTTCGCCATCGTTCCTCAGTTTCCTGCTCTCAGCATTCACGGAATCGCCTTCGTAATCGCCCCCACCCCTGGCCTCCCCTGGGGTATGCCCACCCAGTATCTCGGCCTCTTCAACCAGACAAACAATGGCAACTCCACCAACCACGTCGTTGCAGTTGAGCTCGACACGGCCCAGAACAAAGAGTTCGGCGACATCGATGACAACCATGTTGGGATTGATATCAACGGGTTGGGATCTGAAGTTGCTGCTTCCGCGGGGTATTATGATGAGGACGGGCATTTGAGGAACTTGACCCTTACCAGCGGGCAGCCGATGCAAGTTTGGGTCGAATACGATGGTTTAGAGAGAAAGATGGAGGTCACTCTAGCTCCCATTAATCGCCCCAAACCCAGGACTCCTCTTTTGTCCTTAGTTCGTGATCTTTCTTCCATTATTAATGACTATGATGAAATGTATCTTGGGTTCTCCTCGTCCACCGGTGCAATTCCAACATCTCATTATATTCTGGGCTGGAGTTTCAAGACGAATGGTCGGGCCGAAGACCTCTCCATTTCTAGACTCCCTAGACTTCCTCGGGTCCGTTCCCAAAAAATATCCCAACTTTTGACCATTGGGTTGCCTTTGATTGCAGCCAGTCTTGTTCTGATTGCAATCTCAGGTGTAGCTTTCTACATATCAAGGAAGAGAAAGTTTGCTGATGAAGTTGTTGAAGATTGGGAGCTTTTATACGGGCCTCATAGATTCAAGTATAAAGATCTGTACATTGCCACAAAAGGGTTCAGCCAAGAGGAGTTACTTGGGTCAGGTGGGTTTGGAAAGGTTTACCACGGGGTTCTACGGGCCTGCAAAACCGAGATTGCTGTGAAAAGAGTCTCCCATGAGTCCAGGCAAGGAATGAAGGAGTTTGTGGCCGAGATTGTAAGCATTGGTTGTCTCCGACACCGGAACTTGGTTCGGCTCTTGGGATATTGCCGGCGCCGGGGTGAGCTCCTTTTGGTCTACGACTACATGCCCAATGGGAGTCTAGACAAGTACTTGCATGGCGACAAGCCGAATGCAACCCTTGATTGGAGAAAAAGATTCTAAGTCATCAACGGGGTTGCCGCGGCATTGTTTTATTTACACGAAGAATGGGAATGCGTTGTGATCCACCGAGACGTTAAGGCGAGTAACGTCCTATTAGACGATGAGTTTAATGCAAGACTGGGAGATTTCGGGCTCGCAAGGCTTTACGACCACGGCACCGACCCACAAACCACCCACATTGTTGGGACTCTAGGGTATCTTGCCCCGGAGCACGCGATTACCGGAAAAGCCACACCTGCGACGGATGTGTTTGCCTTTGGTGCATTTTTGCTTGAGGTTGCCACGGGAAGGAGGCCAATCTCTCCACCAACAGAAGAAGATGCAGTGGTTTTGGCTGATTGGGTTCATTCTTGTTGGTGTAGAGGCGATATTCTTGAGGCTAAGGATCCATTGATGGGGTCAGATTATGTGACAGAGGAAGTGGAATTGGTGTTAAAACTCGGCCTCCTCTGTTCCCAATCTGAGCCTCGAGCAAGGCCAACCATGCGCCAATCTGTTCAGTTCTTGGGAGGAGATTTGCCCTTTCTTGGCGTGCCTTCTCCTGCTGGTCTAGCATTTGACCATCCTCATGGCTCTCATGGTTTTGGCCCCTCATATTCATCTTCTTCTGTTGAAGAGTCTCTCCTCTCTGGAGGTCGTTAGATAGACTAACTATTTTTATTCAATGTAGATGATCTAAATATGTAGTATTAAGGTATTGCTATTTGGATAATATATGAATAAATAAATGTTTTGCTCTTTGTGCCATATAAAAAAATTTATAAACGAAAAAAGAGAGGAAGTACTCCAGTAGTCCTATTTACTTGGACGAACACACACACATGAGACTTTTGGTGGCAAACTAACTACTCCGACCAATCCAGTCTACAGGAACCCACCACTACAAAGATTTAATGTTCACGTGGTCAAATTTTATTCACTTTACTGACTTATTTTTGTTGGTCATTTGATAAAATAATATAGTCATATCACTTCTAGTTCTGTAAATCTTTTAATGTAATTTTAAATATGTAATTATTATTTTTTAATTCTATACAATTTTTCATATAAAATGATTTGAAAATAACTTTATTGAAATATCATAATGCGCAACGAGAATATTATTGTTGGACATAGAAAGTACTTATGTACGGGCTTCTCAAAAAAATTAGACTCATATACTAATATTTCCTCCGTCCCAAAAATGATTCTTTATTTTCTTTTTAGAATGTTCTAAAAAAAATTCTTCTTTCTTTTTATCGAAAATTTTAAGTGACTTACCATCTTTCTTTCTTCAGTATCACTTTCAACCATAAATTTTATCATTAAATTAACGGGAGAAATCACTTAACTTACTAGTTACTACAATGGATAGGGATTGATAGATTTTTTTAGGGATTGAGAGATTTTGTTTATATCATTGTAAATCTGAGTATAGATAATTATGGAGTATTCTTTAGTGTTATTTGGGTAAATCTGTAAGCACATAATTATTGTTCCAGGCAAAAATAATACTCTCCATCTTGTAATCAGATTGAATTTTTTGCAACTTAAGAAAAAGTGAAACTACCTGGTAAAAATTTATGCAAAACTTAAAGACATAATATGGTCACAACTCATTCTTAAAAAAAGAATGAAAACTTTATTATACGACGTCCAAAAAGATAAGTGAGAACCCAAATAAGGAACGAAGGCAATGAGTACATTTTTTGAAATTTAAATTCAGTGTTTCCCCGCGAGGTTTATAGAGCAATAATATGTTTGGTGCGAGTATACCTTAACTCCACCTTCTTAGATCCTCTTCTTCATCAACCGGAACATACCAAGCAGGCCTTCTCTTTGAGTTGCTCAATCTGTAATTCAAGAGCACTTCTTCTTGGTCACAAATAGGTCGAGTAGCAACAAGAACAAGAGACTTAAGGACAGGAACGGTGTCTTCCCCAGTGCCGCTTGATTTCCATGTATTAAACCAGAAGCTGCCTAATTTCTTCATCCTCACCTCCTCCCCATTTCCAAATGAAACATTTGGGATGTAAGGTCTCAAGCCCTCATGGTCACCGCTGAGGGTAAAGTCGTAGGGGCAGATCATGACATTTGGGGTGGTGTCCTTTGCTGGGTGATTAGCAAAATGTCCAAATGCTAAAGGGTTCCTCCTCTCCAACACTTGACCACCTTTATGCCCTCCTCCACCACTTGTGCCATCCAAGGGTTTACTAAGCATGGCCCAGATTCGGTCAGAGCCGTTTTGGGCTTTAACCGGGGGAGGTGTGGTTTGTGATCCATCCCACATTTCACGAGATTCGCCACCAGCACCCCAGGGCTTTGCATTGATCACTGCCCCATCATACCTGGTGATCAAGTATGAATTTTGTGCATCAACTCTTGGGTATCCAGGGATGTAACGGTAGTATGCTGGAGAGTAGATCACACCAGGATAGAATGCTATAACAGCACCAGGATCCGCTTCCCCATTCAAGAATAAACCAAGGCCAGCATCTTCATGAGGAATTTGAGACGGTTTGATTTCAAGTGTGTAACCAATAAGCTCCCTCAGCCTCTGAGAAACCTCTGCACGCTTTAGACCCTTGGTTTCAGGAACAGCTGTACTGCATCCAAATTTGAGTAATTAGATTCTAGGAACTAGTTGATCTCATCAAATAAAGTACCTAGACCCCCTCTAACTATTATATTTGTCTCAAACAATCACCAGAATTCTAGTATTCAACAATCCCTCGCCAATAGTTCCCTAACAAAAGCTTAATTTTGTGCTAAATTTGCTCATTTTAATGAGGGTTTCATGTCAAAATTTTATGCTGGTGTTTGAAATACAATTAAGATTCATCCAAATTGAGTAAGGTACTAATGAGTTAACTCATCCCACGTTCAAATCGATGTAGGGCATAAACTTAGACATTAATTCAATGCTTTCAACCTCCATTGCAATAAGCTTTTGTATGTATCTGAGAAGAAGCTACTAAATGAATGAAACATAAAAATGTGGGAGTCATGCAGCTCGAAGTGTTTTTTGGGGAATTAGCTGAGACAATCGTATTAATTAGAAGTTCTTTCATGAAAATAAACCAAGAAAGTGTAATCAAATGTGAAATCAAAAGTTCATGCAGGAATGGGTCATGAAAGTTTGTGTATTTTACTTTATTTCAACAAGTTTAAACTCGAAACGAAAGTCCCACATATTGCGTAATTCTTACAAATTGAAACCACTACTAGATCAAGATGTATAATGTCCATTGCTAATGGAGCTAAGGTAGCCGTAATTAACAATGTTTTAGCTTCGGATGAATAATGGACTAAATCAAAATGACACAATAAACTTTCATTGTTTCTTACTTTCAATGAAGTTTTGGATTGTAAATGCAACAATGCATTAAGGGTCTAACGGAAACAAGCTCTCTGTATTGTTTACATGAGTAAGGCTACGTACACCTTGATCCCAAAGAAGTTGGGATTATGTAGGTCTGTTGTACTAAATCAAAGTCTAACCAAATGAAGAACTCCTTGTCATTCAAAATAAATAGCCTATGTTTGAAACCTGGTCTGCGCAGCAAAATCTAAAGTTCCCAAGGACAAGACAAGTATGTTATAGGAAAACGAGGATTGAATATACACAGAACTAGAGGCTGAATTTTGTAATGTTGGAAACATTTAAAGAAGCAATGTCTCCCGCAAAAATTGTTCACCAGATTTTTTTAATTTTGTGTCCACTTTCGATGGAGCTAAAAGAATTCTTAAAAATATTTTAGCTCCAAGTAAATAATGGACTAAATCAAAATGACACATTAAACTTCACTTGCTCTTTACATTCTATGAAATTTTGGCCAGGAAATGCATCACGGGTCTAGCGAACAACATCTCTTTTCTTTACATGGTAAGGTTGTGTACATCATGATCCTAAGGAGTTGGAATTACACTGGGCTTGTTGTGGTTGAAATAAAATTTTAATTTTCATCATGGTCTCATGGGACAATGTTAATCATATCTGATATCTGCCGAAGTAAAATTTTACATGGTAGAGTAATTGCAAATTAAAAATCTAGAAATATCTAGTTTAAATCCATCAAAAACTTGGAGGAATTAATATCTGAAACTGGAGAAGAGATCGTGCAGACAACTTTACAAGGACAGTAAAAAATATTCATATTGGGATAAATTTCTTTTTTGGTGCAAGTCTTTCGTTCTCTCCAATCCCTAAACCACAACAATGGCTACCAATCTCACTTGACTATCATCAATTAGCAACAGTAAGTCCCTCATTGTAATGTTGTTAAATATGGACAAAGTCCATGACAGATGGACTGAGAGTAGTTAACTTTGTAATTGACGGACTAACATTACAATCTGTTTCCAGTCCCTCAATTATGCATCTAGCTGATCTTAGACAATCAGACCCTTCAATAATGAATTGATAGCCTCTACAAAGAACTTACTGGATAATAAAATTACATAGTCAAGATAAGTGATGGTACGTGTGTCAAAGATTTTAAGATTCAAATGTATGCTACCAAAGAGGTTTTAAAGGTGGAGGGAGGGTCTATCCTTCATTAGGTGTTGAATAAATATCATTACTACCAAGGTTAATGAAAAGTAAATTGCAAGTAAATCCCTTTCGATGTTACATATCCAATTCAATACACAAAACAAAACAACAATAGTGAACTTCTGCTTAGAACAGTAAGATAACAAAGGCACTTACCGGAGCAATTATTCAATGGAGAACTTCCACCAACGGCGAGACTAAGACCACCACGACGAGGTGGGTTAATAGTTTCAGAGAGTGATTGGGGCTCATCTCGGCTCTTCAAATCAGGCAATAAAATCTCACACATACAAGTACAGAAGGTTTCAATTTGAGAATGAACGTTTTCCTGAACTTGCTTTTGTTGATCATTGAGGGGGGCATTACTAGCCATATCAATAATCTCTTCGGCATCTTTTTCATCAGCTTCCTTCCCCAGACGGTGGTGGCTGAAAATATTGTATTATCATGAGAAGTCGAAAGCATAAAATGTGGAATCCATGAATTTGATTCATAAATCCTTCAGAAAGATTAGGTGGGAAAATCAAGGAATGTATTTCATTCATACAGGACAAGTAATGCAATGATATATGAAGTGTATGTGTGAGTTCGTACCCCCTCCATCCCAAAACAAAGTTTAAAATTTCACTTCCTTACTTATATATCAAAGGAGTACGAATATATACTTCATAAGTGCCTTTATATCAAGGACTTCGTTACTTTCATATCAAAGGAGTGAAGGGGTCATCATCAGCAATTCACTCTCTGCGATTGATAATCTGCATTGAGACCATTCAGAAACTGAAAAAGTATTTGTTCCACTTTCTGCTTATCCAATGCATTCAAGAAGAGTCTTGTTTTGGCTGTATATACCTTTAACGAAGGAAACTGCATCATGCCATCCAGTTCTTCCCAAAAACTCCGCAGTTTGGTGTAGTACTCACTCACACTCAGGTGACTTTGCTTATTTTACACAAATCTGCTTATTCAATATATTATGTCCATTGACAATGGAGCTAAAAGAGTCATAATTGACAATATTTTAACATTGAGTAAATAAAGGAGAAAATCAAATGGAACATTAAACTTCATTTGATTACTTCCAATTAAGTTTTGACAATGCATCAAGGGTCTAACAGGAACAATCTCTCTATTTTTACAGGGGTAAGGTTGTGTGCATCTAGACCCCCTAGACCTTACGACGTTGGGATTATACTGGGTTGTTATTGCTTCTTGAATCTATATTTCTGAGCACCATTACTGACTGCAAAGCGATTCACAAACTGCTTCCAAATTTTCAGAAGCATAATTCAGGTACAGGATGGAATTGGCTATGATTTCACTTATCCTATTCCTAAGCCATGATATAACCAGTGAGTTGCAACCTGCAGATCTCCCACTCCTCCAGTTCAACACATTCAGTGGGTTTTGCAAGTGTTAGTTTGACGAACCCTACCTTTCTCTCTGTGCTGAGGCCTGAGGTTGATTTCAATCTCCAATGTTTCCACAGTTGATAATTTGTGACCCCCGTCAGTTTTGCTGGTGGTTGCAGAGTACTAGGGCAATCTGAAGGATGACCATACATAGGATTTTGTGAATCGGCAAATGGATGAGATGAGTAACTTAACCTATCCGACCGACCATTAAAATATCCGAACCCGAACCGAGAATAGAATAATCCGAACCCAAACCAAAATTTTTTACCCAAACCCGACATTGGGTCAAGTCGGGTATGGGTTTATAATGTTACCTGACCCGACCCGACTCAAACCCGAATATTTTACAACATAAAACCCTATCTATGGATATAATGAGCACTCCATATAATCTCTTGACAAGGTGCTACTATATCAAGTATGCCTTTTATAATCATTTTTATAATTCCTAAGTAAAAAAATGAGATATAAAAAAAGAGACACAAAAAAATTAGATTTAATCTTTTAAAATTATTGGGGTACGTCGAATTGATTATTGGTTAAATTGCGGATTCGGGTTTCGGGTTGAAATGTCGGGTTTGGGTTGGGTCGGGTTTGGTTTCGGTTTTAAAAGTCGGGTCGGGTTCGGGTATAGTACTATCCGACCCGAACCCGACCCGTTGCCATCCCTATATGAGTTGTGAGTGTCTTTTGTAATCTTCGAACTTTTGAAATCTAAAAATCTTCAAGGATTCTCGAAACCACAAGAAACATCTGCAGCATGACAAATCTTGGACAGAAATGACTTAAATGACTCAGCCACTGAATTTTCAGATTACTAGAATGAATCAATCAGTTGTTCTTTTCCAGTAGGATATCCGAACCAGCCGACACAATGGCTGTGATACCAAGTTGATAAGACTCTTAGCAGAAGCTAAATGAAACTTTTGTTAATTGAAGTCAAAGTGAATGTCTTGCTTACAGTGGGTAGTCAACACTACTTATATACAAGGGCTAAAAGCCCAACCAAAGGAGAATAGAAGGGCTATGGAGCCCAGCAGAAGTAACAACCCCAGCTAACTTCCAACTAACTCAAGTCTCAACACAAGGCACAAGAATGCTTCAGGGAGTCTTTGTACTGGGTGAATGTACCAAATTCATCTGCAGAATCATAACATAAATTTTGGTGTATTCTTTTAAGGAGCAATGTTTACAACCTGATATTCTTGATTTTCATTGTTAAATTATTGTAATCGTGTATCATGTGTCACAACTTCTTGCAAGAATTACATAATAGACCTAGATGCGAGTTGTATAGAGGTTAAGGTACAATGATTTATGTGGTCCACATTATGACTTGTGAGATTCTGAGCAGTGTTGTAATGTCGACAACAGGAGTTCATATCAAGGGTTCAATTCTTAAAGGAAATGTACCAAACAAATAACAAAAACAAAGATGTATCCCATTTAACTTGGGTTCGGCTAAATTAACCGTTTTTTTGTCTTGAAGTAGTGGGGAATGAAACTTAAAACATAGAGAGAGCTTACAACCTTCAGCGTGAGGATATGTACATGCATTTTATTGATTATTGAAAACAAATCTCACTACTCCTCATGAAAAGATAAGAAATTGCTCCAAAGATCATTTTCAACTTTTCACGTAGAACTAATCAGAAGTGAATCAAACTAGAAAGTTTCTTTAAGGTGCAAATGTGGAAAGCCTTCTCTACAAAACTTTATTCTATACTTGTATATAGAGCATCATTTAGTAGCTCAAAAAACTTCTGCAAAAAAATCTGAGACGTTATTACAACAAATGACAGCCCATTGGAATCCTACTAGTGTCCCCTGCTCACCTAGTATAAAGGAAAAGGCGATTTATATCTGATTCAAACTGAACATGTCTTGGATCTCTTGCAAATGTTGGAAATTTAGCAAGCACCTTCACGGACTAAAATTAGAGAAAAAAATGGAGTGTTAGTTCAAAACGGTGTTTGAAATGCCCCATTTCAACTGTCATTACAAGATTAAAACAAGAACACACCGATAAGGAATAAAGTCTTAAGAGGTCAATGTTGAAAGTTGTAAACATATGAAATGTTTGAAATTTCAGAAAATGCATAAACTTTCACGGTGGAGAATGGGGGAATGATAACCTCTTGAAATTTGTTGAAGAGAAAGGCCATCGAGAAACCGCTGTAGTACTTTGGTAATTGGTAAGTACTCTCTACGGCAGCTGGAATTGTGAATGGAGAGCGACGACTCCTAAAATGAGAAGAAACCGTGTGGAAACCCTAAAAACCCAATCTATATGCAGTATACAGCGGTCCTGTCTAACAAATGTAAAGGCAAAACGAAAAGAGAAAAAAATGTTGCTCCTTGATTCAGAGATGCTAGCACCTAGTAGCAGCTCACCGGCAAAGGTCCATGTTCACCGTGCAACCAAAATAATAAGGGCAAATTTGAGCAATTCTACTATATATATATATATATATATATATATATATATATATATATATATATAAGCCCATGAGAAATTTTTGCCAATTTCATTCCTGATTTTCCCGCCATAATTATGCATCCAATGGATGAGAATATTTTGCTACACGTGGCATCATCTAATGAGATCTCTATCTATAAAGACATACAATCAGTTCTGGACAAAAGAGAGTTATCCCCACATCAAGAATTCCAGTACATGTTATTTCCAAAGAGCCAGTCCAAGCCAAGTAGTTCACTGAGAAATGACAAAAGAACTGTCAGTTCAATGCATACCGATTGTAATATAAATGATACACATCACAAATTCACAATGCATACCGAAAATTTATTTAGGCTCTGAATTTTTTCCATTGATACACATGGATATGTGATTGCCATGGCTGCAAACCCATTGTAATCTAAATGTTGCCTTCCCAAGATACAAATCACAAATTCTACATATTTAAAATCCGTTTATAAATTCCAAAAAAAAGAACGATCGTTGAGGCTCAGAATTATTTTCCATTGCTAAGCTAAACGATATGATTGTCATGGCTGCAGCGATGATCTCAAAGTTCGAGGTTGCCTCGCCAAGATACGAATCATTTTGTTAATTCTTCGTTATTAGCATTGGTAAATACACATTGATGTCGTCACAGCCTCATTAGAGATACATCATACTCTACTTATATATAAAAGCCCATAGGAAATTTTTTCCAATTTCATTCCTGTTTTTCCTGCCATAATTATGCATCCAATGGATGAGAATAGTTTGCTACACGTGGCATCAGCTTATGAGATCTCTATCTATAAAGACATACAATCAGTTCTGGACAAAAGATTATTATCCCCACATCAAGAATTCCAGTACATGCTATCTCCAAAGAGTCAGTCCAAGCCAAGTAGTTCACTGATCAAATGACAAAAGAACTGCAAGAGCAATGGATATCACGCATGGATATGTGAAGCAGTGAAAAATTTCTTTAGGCTCAGAATTTTTCCCATAGATACACATGGATATGTGATTGCTATGGCTGCAGACCGATTGTAATCTAAATGTTGCCTTGCCAAGATGCGAATCACAAATTCGACATATTTAAAATCCGTTTATAATTTCTATATAAAAAAAGAACTATCATTGAGGCTTGGAATTATTTTCCATTACTAACTAAACGATATGATTGTCATGGCTGCAACAATGATCTCAAAGTTCGAGGTTGCCTCGCCAAGATACGAATCATTTCGTTAAATCTTTGTTATTAGCATTGGAAGATACACAGTGATATCGTCACAGCCTCTTGGGAGATACATTATTTTCCTTTTCAATTTTGAAATCGGCTGCGGTTAAAAAGAGGCTCAGACTTTTCAAATTTATTTACTCATCACAATGGAAAGGATGCAAAAACGCCATGGCTGCTTCGGTACCCACCAAGCCACGCCAAGATACGTTTTATTTCCTTAATTTCACATTTAAGAGAAACGTATAAAAATTGCATCATAACCTCTGTTTATTAAAAGTATTGCACCTGGAAATGTGTAATATACCACAGCTGCAAAGGAAAGATAAATCACATAATTACGAGACATACATTGAACATGGTCATTGTACTACACTGCAAATACCCATTACAGGAGCTAAAGACCAACAAAGTCAGTACTAAGAAGGGAGACCAGCATATATTATGCCATTCAAGTCATAGTACTCAGACCAACAAAGTCAGTCCTAAGAACCCAACACATTCCATTGTCAGTATAAATACCACTCCACTGCATAACACTACCCACCCTTCCCCAAAATTCCTTCAAAACACTGATTTATTAACAATCAGCCTTATACTTTTCTAAAATGCCTGCCCTTTGGACGAGATTGATGGATTTAAAACCATCTACTTTTCGTGTCAATCTTAAATTAAAATTAGTTCGTTCCTACGACTTGATATCCTACAGAAATGCCGGAGAAGTTTATGCACGGGAGTGTATTTTTCACGACAATGAGGTACTTTTTTTCAAAACTATTTTAGCTAGCCACTTTTCAAATTGATATTAATTATTTGATAAAAAATTTCAGGGGAACCACATTCTTGGAGTGTATCAAAAGGAGGAAATAGCATTGTTTGGATCAACGCTCAAAGAGGGGAATTTATATCGAATAAGTAATCCGGCAGTTCTATCAAACAACAGGCCTCACATTGTATCAAGCAAATTTAAGCTATCACTTGGTAAAAGGAGTGCTGTTACCGAGATGTTTGATGAACAATTCTCCAAGCATTTTTTCAATTTCAAACCATTTGGGGAGATAAATGCTTTGAAAAATATTGAAAATGTTCCAATGTTTGGTAATTACTTTACTCATTTTTCATACTTAAATTCCTTGATATCGTTAGTCTATTTTAAAAATCTTAATACGATTTAATATTTTTACTTGAACAGATGTAATAGGCGCAATGTTTGTTAATGACCCTCCAATCACCAAACCAGTTATGGCAAAAGAAACCCTAATTATGGAGATTATATTAGAGGATTTAGAGTAAGTATATCATATCAGTCATTATCCCTTATTATAATATGTATATTATACAAATATAATTGTGTATTACACTATAAATGGTTATAGGGGGACAAGAATTGCATGCACTTTGTGGGGCAGATATGCTTCAAATCTCATGAAATTTGTGGAAAAATTGCCAAAGCAACCCGTCATAGCTGTAATCCAGTTTTGCAAAGCAGGGATATATAATGGTAAAGGGTTTCTTTAAAATATAATTTAAAACAAAACAATACTGCTTCTAAATTTTTTCAATTTTTCAAAACAGAAAAATATTCCAAATATATGGAAATTTAATACTTCTTATATTAAAAGAGTAATTCTGTGTAACTACTTAGAATTCTGAAAATTTGACTATGCAAATTTCATTTTCTCAGGCAACATTAAGGCTTCCACTTTCTACGATGTTTCTAAGATGTTCCTTGATGAAAACATTCAAGAGATTAACACCTTCAGAGAGAGGTAGTTTTAAAAATACTTTGGTCTTTGAAAATAAATAACAATTTTCAAAAACTATTTAGAATTGTTTCTTATTGGCAAACCAGATACATTGCAACAAGATGTATTTCCAATCAGTCTCTATCCCTGAGTGTCTCTACGATAACAGTTCAAAGTACTCCAATGACAATCAAGCTCAGAACGATAGAGGAAGTTATTGAAAGGAAAGAGGTAAAGTACATATTTTGAAAATTTTAATTATCTCATCAAACATTACATCCTACATATCTCTTTTTACAGCAATGGCGGGTTTGGATTTCTTGCTCTATTGCGGGAATAGAAAACTCAGGTTCCTGGTTTTACAGCTCCTGTAAGGGATGCCCTAAGAAAAAATTGCCAGAGGACAGTTTGAACTTTTGTGGTGTGTGTAAATCCCAAGGTGTGGTTTTGAGGTAAATATAATATTTTGCATGTTTTAACACTTTAATAAATATTTTTCTTATAAATTTTGGTACTTATAAATTACTTATATTTTCTAAATGTAAATTAGATACCGTTTAAAAGTCCATGTAGTGGATGACATTGGGAATTTATCATTGGTGTTATGGGATAAGCATTGTATAAGGATACTTGGAAGGAGAGCTGAGGAGCTTTTAAAGAAATCAGTAAGTTTACAAGCACTATTGTTTTAAAATTTCTTATTTGGATTTTTTAAGAAATCAGCAAGTCATTGACATATTGTTTTCGTGCAGGAGAAAGAAAGAGAATTGCAAATTGAAATTGAGGAACTCGTAGAGAGGAAAATGATGTTTGAAATTGAAGTATCAAAATCTCAAGATTCACTATATGAAGACAGTTTTAGTGTGTCTCAGGTCTCTACAGATCCTACTTTTATTGAAAAACACTCCCATGAGACACCATCTACCCAAGAGTCAGTATCCCAACCGAAACTTAAGATGGTAGATTTTGGGGTTGAAGAGAATGTTGATTCAATAGCTGATAAGGTTTAAATAAAGTGAACCACTTTGTTTAGTTCATATTTCTTAATTTCTTAAATAAAATATGAAAGTCTAAACTTAAAATGCAGGGTGAAACCAGTGTGAAAAGAGACGTCATTATTGACGTAGAGGGCTAGGAAGTCTTGGAGTGTGATGACAAAAACAAATTGAAGAGGGATCTTTTGAATGATTTTGAAATAACAGAGCAAGAGCAATTGAAAAGGCCAAAAAAGTATATCAAAGTTGAAAAGGGATGAGAGAGAATGATTTTAGAAATATTTTTCCCAATTGCTGTCTTTTCTATGTCTTGAGTGTACTAAATAAGTGCTCTGGTACAGAATGTTTTACCATTTCCCCTTTCTTGAATGTCATTTAGTTTGATTTCCATCAGCTCTTAAAACAGCAGTCTAAATTCACTTATTTACATTACATATCTATTAGTACAAAGGCTGAACATATACCTGGCAAAACTCACCCGGTCCCGATAACCCGAACCAAATAACCCGGCACCGAACCGATACAAACCCAAATCGATACAAACCCGAACCGATACAAACCCAAAGCGATATAAACCCAAATCGCAACCAAACCAAAACCGAAAATCAATCAAACAAAAAAAAACCCGGAACCGAACTGACCATAACCAAACTGACCCAAACCGATTATAACATATATCCGTAAAAGACCCGAACCTAAAAGACACAAACCGGAACCAAACTGATTGACCCGATTGCCATGTCTAACTGAACATCCGTGAACTATAATAACAACACTATAAATTATTCCGTGTTAGGTTTACAAATTCACGAAGAACCCAAGCGGTGGTTCTATAACACTGAAAATGAGAAGTGCAATAAAGGTGAAAAAGGAGAGATCATATTATAAAAGCCTAAATAATGGAAGATGAGAGATCTTTGATGTTTGATGTTTTACCTTTTGATAAAATGTAAAAAAAGTGAGCATGAATTATAAAAAACGTGTAGTTTTAAAATTGACCATGGAAAGTGACATGAAAAAACATCCATACGTGGCATGGTAAAATACATAAAAAGTGTAGTTTCAAAATTGTAGTGTATGAAAAAACAGGTGACAAGTTGGGGCAGTGCATGCAAATATTGATTAAGTTCAAAGGAATTTGAAGATTGTATTTATTTAAACTTATTAAAATCTCTTTTTTAAGTTTAAGGTAATGACACTCTACTGACTTTTGAAAGAGTGGTTAAAGAAAATTTATAACCAAAAAAATGTTTTAAGAAAATTGCTTAGTGTAATATTTAAAAGAATTTACTGAACACCCATTTTAAAACATCAAAAGTACTTACATGAAATTTGAAAATATTCAATGTATCAGCTTAGTGGGTATACATGAGAAGACAATTTTTTGGACTTAGTAAAATGGTATTTCTCAATAGTGAATAACCCCTGGACAAAAATTCCAGGCATTCATAAACTAATACCAATGGTGGACACCCTTACTGTCTATTTCTATGTACACACACACACACACACACACACATATAAAAGATATAACCTATTAATGGTGTTGTATTACTTCAGTGTTAAAATCTAGAGAGCCATACACCTGCTAACACTGAGCTAAAAAATGAAGACTTCATTGTCCAGTGCTAGAGATGGGGGGAAAAGAAAGAGAATCCATACAAACACAGGTACACAAGCTTCAATTCACACAATGTATAATAATTTATGTCTTGCACTTAGTAAACATATTTCAAAAGTTCCCTATATTCATGCGTTCTGTTATTAAGCATAGTTATTTAGGTATATATATTGAAAAGATTAAGTTTAAATAAGCACGGAGGGGTTGTCATTCAAGACATGAATAGCTTTAGATTTAACTTACTGGTAGAAACAATATAACAACTTACTTGCCTTCCTTAACATTATTGCTTGGGATAAATCTAGGAAACATGAAAGAGTAATTGTTAATTCGCAAGTTAGGTTTTCAGAATTTCTTCAAATTAATTAAAAATAAGAGTTTATAATTACACTCACTTTCATCACGAGGAGTACTTTAAAAAGGATCAAACCTGAAATAAAAAGTAAAAGCATTTAGAGGTTTATGTATTCAGTAATTTTTATCTAACAGATTTTATTTAAAAAAATACGGAGTATATGCAGCTCATATGAAACTACTTACATTTTTACTTTACGTTGTTTCAGTAAAAACGCCCCTGTAAAAAAAATAAAAGTATTATTCTTGGGTAGATTGTCACAATGTGAACAATTCAGATTAAAAAATATGAGTTACAAAGAACAACAAAAACCATATAACATACCGGGGTTCAAGTATAAATGTAGGTTCTGTAGCCGTAAAAAATTTAATGAAATGATAATAATTGAAAAATCAGATCACATGAAGCAGTTTTAGTTTCCTGAATAATGTTATTCAGATATAGAAGTAGGGAATATGAATTCAATTTTAATGTGGGAGAGTATATAAAATTTAAAATATCAGAGATCTGTATTCTTTTTACAAGGAAAAATTATTAAAATTAAAATATCAGGGATCTGTATTAGTTTTAAATTAAATTTTTCATGTATTCGTATTTCAACAAAAAAAATTATGGTGCATGGATCTGTAAACTAATGAATCATGATTCAAAAGTGTAGGAAATAACTTCATCTCATACAGATCTGCGCAAAATCGTAGAAGAAATGTATGAAATTCAAAGTCATCGAAAATCTTCATGAAAAATTGAAGATTTTTAAGTATGTATGACATATCAATTCCATTATATGTTTCGAAAAAAGATATGAGATAGGATTTCAAATCTGCGTAAGAAAAACAAAAAAAAATACGAAATAATATTTCGGTGCATGGATTTGTAAACTAATGAATCATGATTCAAAGTAAACAAAATAACATCATCTCATATAGATCTACGCAAAATCGTAGAAAAAATATATGAACTTCAAAGTCATCGAAAATCTTAAAGAAAAATTGAAGATTTTAAAGTATGTATGTATAATCAATTCCATTATATGTTTCCGAAAAATAAAAAACATGAGATAGTATATCAAATCTGCGTGAGAAAAACGAAAACAAATTGCAGAAAAAACAAAAAAATCAAAACAAAATAAGGAATAAATACATACAAAGAAGAACAATCCAAAAGTAGGACATGAGGACTTGATCCTTCGATTTCTTAGGCAGAAAGAGGATTAAAATCCGGTTAAATAATATAAAGAAATGAGAGAGGAAGATAAGGTAGCGGAACACAGCGGCGAATGAGAGTGGGAGAAAGTGAGAAACGTGAGAAAGTACGGAGTATTTAGTAAGGCAATTAGGTTAGTAGGAAAGGTTTTGGGCTGGGAAATGAGACATGGGCATTGGGGGAATTGCTTTTATTGGACCAGAATACTTGTGAATTTTAAAAATTTCAAAGGTTTAAAAAAAAGTAAAAACTTTAAATGCTAATCATTATATTTTTAAATATGAATTGTTTTTTTTCAAAATAATAATATTATTACAGGTACAAATGTACAAAGTACGATGCACTTGTGTTCTTCTCAAATTCAAAGCCCCTTAAGTTTATCTCATGTTCAAATGAATTGCCTTAATGACATTACAAATGGTTAGTTCTTTACGTACTTCTACCTTCGTCCCTAATTATTTGTCAAAATTAAATAATTTTTGTCATTTTTTTACCTCTTGCGCAACTTAATTTAAAATTTTGTACTCCCCCGTCCTAAAACTAAATTCTCATTTGACTTTTCATGGTCTACAATGCGGCACCTTGGCCCTTTAATATCTCTATTTTATTTCAATATATATTATCAAAATAATATATTTCAAAACTATCTTTTACAATAAATCTATTCATACTAAATTTATATGGAAATTCAATATTTTTTTCGGTAATATGCAGTCAAAGTTTATAAACTTTGAGTTTAAAAGTCAAAATGGAAAATTAATTTCAGGACGGAGGGGGTATATATATATCTATATAGAAATTGATATAATATTTTAATAATAATCTACTATAATAAATCTAATACAAAAAAAATTTGTTTCAATTTCTAATTATTTTTAATATTGGGGGAGGTAAAGTTTGCCGTTATTAGTAGAAAAAACAAATATGGGAAATACTCAGGGACTTATGGAGTATCTTTTATAAGTATGAATAATACTCCCTCCGTCTTAAAATTGATTTCTAAGTTTGACGTTTGTAGTTAAATTTTTTAAACTTTGACCGTATATTATGGAAATATATTATTTTGATAAAATATATGTAGAAATTAAGATATTGAAGCTCATACATCTATTTATTTAAAATATGTTGTGTTAAACTCAATGAAAATATAATTTCTTATTTGTCGTTTTGATTTAGTTGATTGTACGAGGCAACTTACGCCACAGAAGAACTCGAAACAGTCTAAAAAGGACTGTCATCAGACATCCATGAATAATTTACTAGAAGTGCCCGTGTTATACAGTTCTAAACAGTTTAAAGGTTTGTTATTACATTATGCATATTGTTTATATATATATATATATATATGATGGGATTAACCCGATCAGATGGCGGACCAAGAACGGAATAAGAATACGGAAAATATAATCTCGAAATATATTCTTAATTGGGTGTGTAATCCATCGTCATCTCCCTTACAATGGCGGGTTCTTTCCCCTTTTATAGTACTTCTAGTTTTTAACTTAAAGTTAAACATAATGGGAAGGTTTTTGGAGATCATGGGGTCGTGATTCCCTCCCTTTCCGGTCTTGATCTCTTTCCATTCCTTCCACGACTTGGGGTGTGGGGCACGCGTCATGTTCCCTTCTCAGACTGGATCATCTCAATCCAGTCCATGATTGGGTCGTCCGCCTCGTTATCCACATGCCCCCTGGTGGGCCCGATCCATTACACGCATCTAGACTCACTTACCTTGCACGATTGTGGGCCTTTATCTGGCCTAGAGTCGGGTCCATCAGACCCGATATCTATCACAAGCCCCCTAGTTTTTTGGCGACGCGTCGCTAAGAAACTAATGATGAGCCGCTTTCGATTTTCGTGTCGGATTAGAAATGTCCCACTCGAGTGCCTTGGGTCTCTCCTTACAACGGATATAACCCCTTCTGGTCTCATCTTCTTCCTTCTTCATTGCCGAATCTTGACCCGACCCGAATGTCGACTGCAATTGCCCCCAAATTCTCGTTTCTTTCTCCTAAATGGCCGCCTCCATCGACCCCGCAACCTGGGTCCATGAATCCTCTACTATCAAGGAGGATGAGCTTCACGAAATGGCGGAATTCCTGGGCAAAGGCTTCCGGATTCACCATCTTGATGCTGTCGGGGGGATCAGTCTAACTTATAATCCGGACCCCCGGAAATACATGGTCATGCATTACCTTTCGGTGGGGGAATGGGTTCAGGTTGCCCCTCCATGGTTTGGTCTGCGACATCTGCTAGACATTCGAGTTCCCCCCCGATCAAATGACCGCGAACGCGCACAAATATGTTAGTCAGTTTAGTCGTTGTGCCCACGCCTTAGAGGGGGGGGGGGTGAATAAGGCATTTAAAATCTTTTCGGAGTTTGATAAAAACGGTGTTAGCAAATGCAGAAGCAATTGGTGGTCCCAAAGTGGTGAGATACAAAGTCTAGAGGGGGGGGGGGGGTGAATAGACTTTGTTACAAATTTAAAACTTTTTCGTTTCTTTTGAAAACGTGAAAATGAGTGTTAATCAAGAGTTCTTGTGAACTTTAGATTGTGTGCGGAATTTGGTGGGTAGAGTGAGCAGTAATCAATATGGATGGGTTAGTTTTCACAGTTAATATAATTGCAAGTAAGAGTAAAGATAAAAGAGAGAGACACGCAAACTTTAACGAGGTTCGAAGGTGGGGTAATCCTTCTACGTCCTCAAAATCCACTATGTAGTTGGTTGTTGAATAATGAACCAAAAATTACACTTGTGTGAATTTTTGCACGGTATATCTTCGCAAGGCCAATGTTGCTACTGCACTCGTGCTGGCTTTGTTGTTCCTTCGAAGGTCACGCTTCTTCAACAACTGCAAGATCCGAACAATAGGACTTGCAAGA